AGTGGATGCTTATAGATGTGGTGCCAATCAAGTGGGCTGCTTTGTCCTGAATGGTTTCAAGCTTTGAGCGTTGTTGAAGTTGCATTTATCCAAGCAAGTGGGGAGTATTCCATCACCTCCAGACGTGCCTTGTAGATGGAGGCCAGCCTTTGGACAGTCAGGGCATCAGATACTCACTGCAGTATTCAGAGTCTCTGACATTGCCTTGTAGCTACTGTACTTGTGTGGCAAGCCCAGTTGAATTTCTGGTCAATGGTAACTCCCAGGGCGTTGATAGTGGGTAATTCAGTAAGATAATGCCACAATATCAAGGGATGGTGGTTAGATAGAATCTTAATGAAGACGGCCATTGCCTGGCATTTGCGTGATACAAATGTTAATCGCCACTAAATTATTTCCCCCGATCTTAATTCATATGTTTGACTCCACTCCTCTCCCCAGCAACTATAGGAGGCCGAACTCCACTGTTCACAGCCTTGGTTCCCTACTTGATCTTATGCTATGTTTCCACTCTGATATCCTCTTCATCACCAAAACTGCCTACTTTCACTTCATCATCCATCTCCATCCTTGCCTCAGCTCATCAGCTGCAAAACCCTCATCCACGCTTATGTCAGGTTACAAAGATTGCCTCATTACGCTCATTGTCAACTCACTGCAAACCACAGGGGGAAGGGGGGAGGAGGAAGACTGAAATCCCATGCACTAAGAACAAGTAGAGGTGACTAGCTCCCCTGTAAATGAATTGCTTTGTTATGACAATCTGGGAATCTATGGTAATTATTTTTGATTTGATGAATCCAGTTCCCAGCTTTACGTGGTGAAATTTCAACTCTCAACGTTTCAGTTGGGAGTCTTGGACTACATTGTTACTTTTCTTTGTCTTAGCCTGCTGAGTGGGCTTTAACTCTGCAATTTAGGTTTCTTTGGAGTTTAAAAAATCTAGTTGAGTTAACCGACTCTCTAACCAACAGAAAAAGACACAGAAGGAGAAAAAATGCTACTGCACCCACCTGTTGAATGGAATAGAGTTTGATACCAGAGCTGCGGTCCCATATACAGATCATGTCATCTAATCCACCACTGATCACACAGCTTGAGGTGCAGATGAGAGCTATAACGTCACCACGATGACCATGCATATGACTCACTCGGCTTCCAGTTAATACATCCCAGAGGCAAATAGCTCCATCTTGGCCTCCACTAGCCAACCCCATTGCCTGAAAGAAGACATTTCAAGTAAAGCAACTGCAAAGTTGATGAAGTTAACCAGTTCTGTTACAGTCAGCACTAAAACCCAATTATCTTGTGCTGAACTTTCATTCTATAAATGAGTCCTTTGGGAGTTGAAAATAAGTCAATGTTCATGATTCATTCACAAACTACATGTCATGGAACAAATGTCTGAGGTGACAGAAAGAAAGAAAACTGAAGTATGGACATGATAACTAACTTTCATAAAAGATGGTACAAATGTCAACAGTTATCAACAATTTTCACTAAATGCTAGCAATTCGCTGGAAAAAATTAAACTTGTAGAAAGCTAAATTACATCAATCAGGTGCAGAAATTAAACTCTCATAACTTTCATCGCATGTGGATAGATTAGTATCATCTCTCTTTTGTTCCCTTACTGGTTCCTTGGGTCATGCAATATTAACCCCGACTTGCAGTTATGTGTTGCTGGCTGGTTGTTCAGCCACAACAAGATGATGCTGTCAATGGTACATTTTTTCATCCATAAAGCAGCTGGGGGCCCATGCTTCACTTAAGTACTAAACGGTGCTGCATTATCGGAACATTGTACTCCTTTATATCTTAAAAACACAAACCGCTATATTAGCGCTGTTTTGGATGATAATTTTCCATTATTAATGCTATCAGAAACTGTTTAATTAGCAACAACCACTGACGGCTGTGGGGTTTTATTTTGTGCAAAATGGCCTCTATGCTTGCTTGTATGGCAATAAAGGTCACTACACTTTAAAGAAATTCACTATATGGAACAGGCACGTTGCTGTTTCTGGCACATAATAACCCATTACATTATTTAATTTTTTTTCACCTCCATCATTCCTGCAACACACTATTAATTTCAAGCACTGAGGAAAGTTCAACCATATTATACCATTTGTAAGTACGAATTTGACTGACGAGAAGCCAGCCAATGCTAGTCACTGATTCTTCTCTTGGTTTCCAGGTCATACATGTACTGATAGGAGATCAGGGGACTCCAGGCCATAACCCAGGAGGGGCACAAGAATTAAAAGTAAAGGCATGCTACCATGTGTAGCGTTACTGTATTTCAATACATCTTGCAATTTTCTACGAGTAAACTGTTACCAGGGCAAATGTACAAGCAAAAATAACTTGACAGTCCGGGATATACAGAGAACACTTCTTTCCTTAGTGTTTTGGGATCTGTTACTCAATGAGAAGAGCAAATGATTTAACACCTCTTTCAAAGTTAGCACCTCATATTCTGAAGAGTTCCCATAAAACTCAAATGATCCGAGACTGTTTTCCATATAGTGTTAAACGCATAGCTTTCCGACTTAGCGACATAATTCAAGAAGCATGCAATTAAGCAAGGAGAAACTGCATTGATTTTACCAACTTCTAAATTAATTAAACCCCTGTATGAAAATATTTGCAACATACGAACTGTATGAGGTGTAAACTGAAAGAACATCTGATACTTACTGGTTCTCTATTGCCAAACTCAGCAAAATATTTTGGTTACATATGACAGTACCTGGTCTATATATACTGCTGTGATCCCTCCTGAGTGACCCTGTAACGTATAAAGACAACAGGAGTCCTCAAGTCGATATATCTGCAAAATGAACAGAAGCTCAGTAAACAAACTAATGTACTAAATGCAATCAATTCACTCTTTCTGGTGAAACATTAACTTTGTTTCTCTTTCAACAGATGCTGCCAGGCTTGTTGAGTATTTCAAGCATTTGCTATTTTTAGATCAGATTTCCAGTTTCTGCAGCATTCCACTTTTGATTCCAAGTTTGCTTTGCTCAAATCTCCTATTTTATTTACACTTTATTTTCTCTGCATTCTTTTATCTACATGTTGCCTCTTGCCTACACTGAAAATTCATTCTGAATAAGGTAAAAAGCTGAGTGGGTTGCATGACTTAAGTCTACACTTAGAACATAGAAACATGGAACAGTAAAGCACAGTACAGGCCCTTCGGCCCACGTTGTTGTGCCGATCTATTATCCTACTAAAGATCAAACTAACCTGCATACCCTACATTTTACTATCCTCCATGTGCCTATTCAAGAGTCGCTTAAGCGTCTCTAAAGTATCTGACTCCACTACCACTGCCGGCAGCGCATTCCACACGCCCACCACTCTCTGTGTAAAGAACCTACCTCTGACATCTCTCCCCTATACCTTCCTCCAGTCACCTTAAAATTATGCCCCCTCATAGTTGTCATTTCTGCCCTGGGAAAAAGTCTCCGACTATCCACTCTATCTATGCCTCTCGTCATCTTGTACAATTCTATCAAGTCACCTCTCATCCGTCTTCGCTCCAATGAACAAAGCCCTAGCTCCTTCAACCTTTCCTCATAAGACCTGCTCTGGGGGAATCAGCCCAAATTATGTTCTCATGTTCTGTAAGTAGAAGCCCAAATGTGAGATTATCACCCAATTAACACAATCATTATTTTAAATGCAACTGAATTGTACTCACTCTGAGTGTGTGGTCCTGACTTCCTGTGACTACTCTGCCAGCAGCTGCTTTCAGCACCGTGATGGGCTTTTGGTGTGCACAAGGAACCATGTGCGTTAACTGACAAACTATGGTATCGCCACTGCTGAAGACTGGTGATGATGGGATTGTGGATCTGTTGGGTGTTCCTGAACAAGATGTCAGACTACAGAATTAGTGTTCCAGGTATGGAATGAGAAGTAATTTAACAACTTGCACACACAGGACGACTCTATCATAGCAAAACAGTTCTCATCCCTTTATAACCAGCTGAACGGGGAACTTACGCATCAAAGAGTAGTTTGATGCAGGTTTGGAGGAAGCGCACATTTGAAAGATACTTTTAAAATCCTCATCAAAACTATAAAGTGACATGTCAAGGGACAGAAGTTATAAAGGGAATTCTGAAGCACAGCAAAAATAGTAACTGACGTCTCTGTTGTCTGTCACAGAACTGGAGGATGTAAGGACATACAGGAAGACATGATTATAAACACAGTGCGCCAGTAGGATTGAGTTGGAGATTTCAGAATAATCGGTATTCGCTGTTTTTGGTTTACGATTTTAATCACATAATTTTCAAAAAAGGGTTAATGAATTGCTGATCAAGCTTCAATGCTTAAAAATGCAGCTTTTGTGTGATAGCCATTTACAACACTGGCCTAAAAATACCGAGAGGCTAAGAAATTAAGGAATGTGACTTTGAAAGCATCTTGTAGTGTCAATGAGATTTTGGTGGCATTTATGCCATTTTATTAACTTGCTCCTCATCATCAGCCACGAATCTCCTAGTTTTATGCTTCATCTGATGGCAACATTATTGAGTTGTGCATCCTGTTAACAGCTAACACTAGAAAACATGTAAATTTGTACTAACTTTGGAGGGGGAGGCAGGAACATAAGGGAACTATCCATTTCAAATAAATATCTTTCACTTACCTCGGTACTGCAGCTGGTTGATGGTTTTATTGGTGTCTAGACAATAGAAATCCAATGAGCCATTCAATCTTGCAGCAACAATTCTGTAATATAAAGCTCTGTTATTTCATTGAACACACAAATAAATGTCTAACAAGTGTCAATACATGTAGTAATTACCATGTTCTGAAGTGGTAACATCAAGGAAATGTTTGAATACTGGCGTATCTGATTGTGCAATAAAACATACCCCTATACCCTAGTCAAAAATAATAGCCACAACTATCATACAAAACAGCTGTTGTGTAAGACTGAGGTAATCTTAGTCATGCTATAACTAACAATGTCTGTGGAAGGCAGCAGGCCAAGGCTGAATAATGGAGACGTGAGTACAGGTTGCAGTTAAATTTAAACAAAAAGAACTGCAAATGCTGTAAATCAGGAACAAAAACAAAGTTGCTGGAAAAGCTCAGCAGGTCTGGCAGCATCTGTGAAGGAAAAAACAGGTTAATGTTTCAGGTCCGGTGACACTTCCTCAGCTTTTCCAGCAACTTTGTTTCTGTTGCAGTTAAATTTATTGCTTCAGATATTAGGAGAGCTGATTCTTAAACAATGGTAGAATAAAATGATAAGAAACCAAAGTGACTGAGAAGAAACAACATTATTAAAATTTAAAATAATGACTGCAGGCTATGATACACCACATAAAAGTGGAGGTTAATGTTAAAGCTCATTTCAAAGCAGCTAAAAGTAGAACTTTTTAAAAAGCAACCAGTTCACATGCACTGACTGCTGAAAGGGTTTAATAGGAGTAAGGCTGTCGATATGGTGATATTACATTTCCAGGAAGACCTTTGATACATTTCCACTGGAAAGGTTTGTACCAATTTTTTTTTTTTTTAAAAAAACAATGGCGTTGGTGAAAATATTTCATATTGGACATGCAATTGGCACTCCAAATAAATCCAAAAGCTAGTGACAGGAATTGTTGCTAACTTTGGAGATTGTTACCAGTGAAGTTTAGTAGTCACAAGCAGAATGGAATTTGGAGATGCTCCAAACTACTGAAGGTGGGCAACTACAAAGCTGAACAGGACAAACTGCAGAAGGAATTAGGAACAAAAACAAAGTTGCTGGAAAAGCTCAGCAGGTCTGGCAGCATCTGTGGAGGAGAAAACAGAGTTAACGTTTCGGTCCAGTGACCCTTCCTCAGAACTTGAATTTTGTATCTGTGTTCAATATTCACAATGTAATGCAGCTGTACCAGAAATGGTTAGCAGGTCGTCAATTTTGCTTTTCTTTTCCAAAAGACGCTTCAAAGTTTTATGATTTCTCTATTCCTCAAAATTCCTATCCCAGATTTCATGGTCAGTAGCAAAATGAGGCATTTGCCACTGCCCTTGAAGAAAACTGCCCACATCGATCTGTGGCATGGGTTTCTCATTTCCCAACAACAGTTTGAAGCTGATGCCAAGTCAGGCATTCGGCAATGATTCTTGTCAAGCTCATCAGACCTTGTATTCTCAAATGTAAACCAGGAAGCAAAACATAGATTTCCATTCTTAATTAAAATTTGACAAGTTGAAAAAGAATTGGGATTAAGGCAGCTGAAATAGCAAACATTTTTAGAAATTAATTTATTTAGCTACATTGGAGAAATTGGATATTCCCCCAATATGAAATTAGTTTTCTTTTACGGCAAGTGAAGCTGTTCAGTCGTAATTATTAACTTAATGTGTCATTTTAAAAAAAAAAGTTACACCTCATTTAACAAGGTGCAACTTTTTCAAGAATTTATAAAGCAAGTCTAAAGGCACAAGAAGATAATTTCTCATCAGTTAAGTGATTTTTACTTGATTGCAATCTGGAGACAGGGATGGCTGTGGAGGCAGGGGGAAAAAATGGCTGCAGTGGTATCCTTAATGCACCGTATGACAAAGCATATGATTACTAACAGCAACTTCTGAATTTTCAACTTTAATTGCATGTGTGGACTCCAGATTTTCCTGTCTGTTTCAGTGTAGTAATTGACAACTAACTTACACTGTCATTACCACAGCAAAATCTAGGTTTGTGTCTGAATGGAAAACCTTTTTGTAAATCTATAAACAGCTATGATATTGTTATAAGAAAAAAAAAGTATAATGAACCTTAAAATGACATATGCAAAGGTATGTATCTCTGGATATATTCTTCACAAATTGAGATTGATATAGGGTTACTAAAATAAAAAAACTTGGACTTTGACCAGAAGCACAGAATCTAATTAAACAGGTAGCATAATTTAGGCCCTCATGCCACCCTAATTCTCTCAAAGAGTTAGCCATTTAGACCCTTTCCCTTTTGCTTTAAGTTGTTTTACTTTCCAAATAATTGTCCACTTCCCCTTGCATGTAACAGAAGATTCTTCTGCTATCATATTTTGTAGGACAGGGGAATATCCTAACAATGTATGAAAATGTTAGTCCTTTTGGGAGGGAGGTGCTGATGAGTTTAAATTTATAAAATCAAGTGACTACCTTAGAACATTACAATTGGTATGATTTTAAAAACATGTATGCAGTAGCCTAACAGATTGGGAGAATTTACACTTAAGATATATTTTTATAGTATGTAAATGTATACCCATAAATGATAGCTAAATTGAACATGAAAGCATACTTTGAAAACCTAAATATCAAAGAAGAGATTTATTAAGAATCTGGTCTTTTTGAGTTGGCTGTTCATTCAAATGACTAGCCTGCCTGAATCTTAAATCATAAGCATTAAAAAACACTAGCAAAGTTAAAAGCTTCAATATATTTTGTATGAATGAATCATTTTGATGCTCTGCCATCAGCTGAGTCAATGTGCTTGACTCTTATAAAAACTGAAAGAACTGCAGATGCTGTAAATCAGGAACAAA